TTCTTTCTTTCTTTCTTTCTTTCTTTCTTTCTTTCTTTCTTGTCTTAGATATCCCAAAGCCACTATGAGGCCTTGGACTGCTGAGATCGATCACAGGCCTGCACTAGCTTACTCAGTTGTGTCCAGTGCTAGGGATCAAATCCCGGGATTTGTGCTTGCTAGGCATGAGCCGCGTCCTTGGCTCCCACTGGCCTTCTCCTCCCCCCCCACCTCCTTTTTCTTTAAAAATATTGTCTCTGCATGCATATTGATAATTTTTACATTTATGGAGGCGGCAGTGTGCATGTGTACCACGGTGCCTGGATGGAGGCCAGAGGAGTCGGTTCTCTCCTTCCACTGGGTGCATGCCAGGGTAGAGCTCAGGCTGGCAGGCTTGGTGGCAAGCAGCTCTGCCCACAGGGCCATTGTTGATCCCCTGACTGCCTTAATTAAAAGCCTGGGTTGTAAGACAGGACCAGGCTTCCTCCCTGCCTCAGGGGCTTCCTGGCAGCGCGTCACCCCCCCCCCCCCCCATTGAGCAATGGCTGCCATGAGACTGATGGAATCACGGCTGGGCAGGACTGACATGGATCTGGGCTCACTCTCCTGCAGGCTGTTGCTGCTGATGTTGGTGGTCAAAACCTCCCTAGGGGCAAGATGATACAGAAGTGAATGGCAATCGTCCCTGGTGGTCAGGAGCCAAGAATGTCAGAGGCCTCTTGTAGGTGGGGAAACTGAGGCTAAGGGGTGTGTGGACAGCAAGCGAGAATGAGGACTCTGGAAAGAGGAGGCTGGGTTCTGGTCATGCTGCACCATGATGAGGTCGCATCTCTTATCCTGGGGCCTCAGTTTCCTCACGTGTAGAAAATGTGGCCAGTCACCTGCCCTGGCAGAGATAATGGCTGTGGAGGCTCAGAAGTGCTGAGCAGAGGCCCTTTCTTCCCCCCTGTGGCTGCTGTTCCCCCAGGGCAGGGCAGGGACCAGGATCTGCTTCCCAGGGTCCCCCATTTGTACCAGCTGGAGGATTTGAAGCCTATGACCGTCCCTCTGCAGTAGCTCAATGTCTGGGAAGGACATTCCCCAAAGCAGCCAGGGCCCAGAGAAGCTTGTTTACAGCTGTCAAGTGGCTAAGTTGTGGACTCAGCTTTAGGTAAGAACCAGCTTTATTTATTTATTTATTCATTTATTTATTTATTTATTTATTTATTTATTTATTTATTTATTTATTCATCTTTGTGTTTTTTTTGAGACAGGGTTTCTCTGTGTAGCCTCTGTCCTAGATTCATTTTGTAGACCAGGCTGGCCTCGAACTCAGAGATACTCCTGCTTCTGCCTCCCTGAGTTTGGGGATTACAGGCAGGCACGGTGTTCTTGATAAAGTCCCATACAGTGGGGAATGGGTGGGAAGAGTGGGGAACCCCCTCTTCATGCTGGGGACATGATGAGCCTCGTGCAAGAGTCTAATCCTCCCTTTGGAAGTGGATTCTCGCCATCACATCTCTCCAGCTTGGTACCAGCTTTTAAACTGCGTTTTATTTTTGTACACATACTCATTGGTTTTGTGTATGTGAACATATTCATGCCAATGGGCATACATGGAAGTCAGAGGCCAGTTTATGGGAGTCTGTTCTCCCCTTCCACCATGTGGGTCCTGGGAATTGAACTCAGGCCATCAGGATTGGCACCAAACACCTTTACCCAATGGGCCATCTTGCTAGCCCAGTACCAACTTTTAGAAACAGCCCATGGTTCATCCAGGCTTTTACGAGTTGACTGGAAACAGCTTTAGTCCATAAATGAAGTTAAGGTAAGTGTGTGTCAAAGGGTACCGTCTGAGGTCATAGCAAGTGTGTAAGGCATTTACACGCTCCTGAGATCGGACCACCAAGGTTGGTTCGTTTCGTCCCCCTCTGCTAGCAGGACCCAGGGCCTCCCTGCCTCTTTTTATCCTCCCTGACAGATGGAAGATAAAAGTCAAGGGAGGAGGAGAGGAAGAGGCAGCTCCCTCTTCCCAGATAGCATCTCAGGCACGCAACTGGAGAGAGAGTGTGCATGTGCCAAGCATTCTGTTGAATCAGCTGCTGCCCGGCACTCACCTGCCTCAGCCCAGGAAGCTGCTCAGCTGATAGGGGCTGCCTGTGGCCTGCTGACACTGTGCCTAGGGGCTAGGCTTGCCTCTCCTTTCATCAGCCCAGAGACAAATAAGGCAGTCACTTAAAGAATGCACAATGATATTTTTATTGACCAGAAAGAGTGGGTCTAGTCACCCTGGACCCCAAACAGCCTGGGCAGCAGCCCCGGAGCACCCATCACATGTGATCCTGAAGACCTGCTTGCATGCTCACCAGGGTTCTGCAGTCTCCTCTCCTTTTCAGAGACCAGGCCCTGCCCCCAACCCTTCTCTTCCACTTCCTGCTTTTTCTCCTTCTCCATGGCTGAGCCTCGGCTGGATCATGACCATAGAGGAAGGTGTTGCTGTCCTAACAGTTCCACAGAAGCCTTTGCTCACTGAGTGTCCAGTGGCTACAAAGTGACAATAGCTGCCTCAAGTCTGGGGTCACAGCTCGCCAGAAGTTACTAAAAAGTACACAGGCAGAATCCAGCGGCCTGTGGCGGCTCCTTGATCAGAGGAGGAAGACAGCAGGCCTCTGCCAGCCATGCCCTGCAGCCAGGTCTGCCTGCCTGCTTGCCTCCACATGCCTCTGTGACCTCACCCACTGCCTATGAGCCTCCAGGGCAGCTGTCTGTCCAACCGTGGGAGGGGGACACAGGCCTGCCATGGGGTTTACTGGGGCAGTGCAAGTGTTGGGCAGGGTCCCAGGCTGGGCAGGAGTGTGGGCCCGCCTCTCCCACTGCCTGCAGCAGGTTAGGGAGTAATTGGAGACTATTAGAGGAAATTAAACCCCACCTCCAGATGTAACTTAATGGCCTGCCCCACCCTCTCCTAACACCTGGGGCCCCACCCCCTTCACATCTGGACCAGCAGCCTTCAGGTTCAGGGGCCCCAAATGTCCAGCTAGGAGTCTCAGGCTTCCGGGTCTCTCACCCCCAAGATGGGCAACCTCTTTGCCTTCCTGGTTCGACTTTCCTACCCACCCCTCCCCACTCCCACCCCCACCCCCACTTGCAGACTTCCAAGGGCCTCCCTATGCCTCTCAGGGGATTCCAACAGGAAGCACCAGGTCTTATAATTAAAGGCTCCCCGGACAAATAACAAGCGTCCTGCAGAGGACCTCTCGGATGGAGTTGGCCATTAGAGGGGCTTTTGTGCCTGCTCCCGTTCAAGGACTGAGCTTTCCTGTCCTTACTTGCCTACCTAGAGCTGATGGGGCCAGAGGGTCATGGCCTGAGGTCCATTAGGGAAAAGGACATCCCAAATCTTCCTTTTCATGTCACAAAATCCAGGAGTCATATGGAACCATGGTGCCCTCACCCCAGGGTCCAGGCATGGTGGGCATTTCTCAAACAGCTCTAAAGCCATTTTTTCACAGGCTCCAGCGAGGTGTCCAAAGAGAGGGAAGCAACTCAAAGTGAGTCGAGCCTGTGGGGGCCATGCTGTGAACAGTCTCAGCTGCCAAACTTGACCCTCTGGGGGCCGTGGCTGGGAAAGGGAGAGGGAAGAGTGATGCAGAAGGATGGTGTCCTCCTGGAGCTCAGCTGACCACAATAGCCAGCCAGCTTTCAGGCCCCAGGAGGCTGGAGGCTGGTCCGTGTCCCTTGCCCTTGGGACTCCCATCAACAGGGCAGCAAGGGTGGTGGCCCAGCAGGCTCAGGGAACCGAGTTCCACCACCTAAAGGTAAAAGGTTTTCTTCGAACGTTAGTGCCGCAGTGAATTTCCCCCAGCAGCTGGTGGTAAAACAGGAAGTCGTCAATAAAGATACAGTGCAGGCCCAGTGGTTCCAAAAGGGAGCGAACCTTCTCCTCCAAACAGCAGCGGCCATTGATGAGAGGGCCAAAGGGCTTCGGGATGCCCAGGTACTTGCCTAGGACCACCATGTTGACCTGAGAGACAGAGAGAGAGAGAGAGAGAGGATGAAAAGGCCTGCTGGCTGTGAATGCACCATTCCCCTGGCTTCCTTCTGTCCTTCTGGGCTTTGGCTCTGCTGATCCATCCTCACCAGAACCAGGGATTGGTCAGGAACTGGCATCTAAAATGGGGGTGGGGTATGTGCCCATCATAATTTGGGAGTTGTAAACAGGAAGATGGTGATTTTAATCAGGGCCAGCCTGGGCTACATAAACAAAACATATACATATCTTAAAAAAAATGTTAAAGGTGGGGAGGGTGGGCTGGGGTTGTAGCTCAGTGGTGGAGCGGTTCCTTGGTTCCTCATAACTGGTGAACGCTGTACCAATGGCAGTCATCCCCTCTCTTACACCTCTCTCTCTCTCTCTCTCTCTCTGGTTTTTCAAGACAGAGGTTCTCTGTGCAGCCTTGATTGTCCTGGAACTCAGTCTTTAGACCAGGTTGGCCTTGAACTCACAGAGAACTGCGGGCCTCTGCCTTCTGAGTGCTGGGGTTAAAGGGGTGGGCTACCACCCGCCCAGCTTCTTCACCTCTCAGACAGTTGTCATATTGTAACACGTTTGTTACCTTCAGAGTTTAAATGTGCAGAACTAAATGTCCTCACTGTTAAGTCTCAAACCCAAGACAGATGGCTAACTGAGGTGCCTATTTACCGTATCAAAGTGGACTTGGCCATCAGGTTCTCCCAGCATCCTCCAGGCCCTACCTCTTACAGGATCCTTCTGACTGGCACACCCTTGTCCCCTATCCTGAACTCTCCAGCCTAGGGCCTAGGCTACCCTTCCCTATATAATCCAGCCATTTTGGTTACCCAGCTCCTTTTAAAAAAATCTACCCTTTACTTTCCTCTCCCCCTCTCCTCAGAGAGCCCAGCTCAGGGTCATGAACTCTGGGATGTTCCTGCCCCTTGCTATGCTCTCCCTCCCACATATCTACAATAAACTTTCTTTTCCACCATACCTCGGAGCAGTCATGTCCTTCCTTTTTATTTCTTTTTTATCTATCTCATTACCCGGCTTGCTCAGCTGCTCCTAGCAGTCCTGTTAGTCCTCAGCACTTACTGAGAATCTGTGCATGCCATAAACGTTGTCCCTACGCCTCATAGCGGACCCCCCTCAGGCTGTGGTTCAGACGGGGTAACTAACATTAAGGGAAGTCACAAAGGTTTGTTGCCCACTAGATGCGCTGGAATGTGCATGTGTGGGAGGTGGGGAATGCAGGGGGTCAAAGGGCAGGGAAAGAAATAAGCCACGTTTATTGCCATGGGCAGGCCTCCCCTCTAGGAGTCAAGAGTCACAGCCCAAGGTCATGGGCTTTAACCTTAGTCATGCTCCTCCTGCGACAGGAACTAAAGTCCAGGGATCAGTCCCTCAGTGTCCAGATGTGAGCAGCTATTAGCCTCATGGGGCTGTGTAGGTTAAAACCACTTCCTGTCTCTAGGTGTTCTCTGCAGGCCACACGTGGCACACCATGTCGTCCCAATGGCTTAGAGAATGCCATGTTATGCTGCAGACTGCCAGGGTGCTTTCCCAGCAGGGAAAGCCGTAGCAGAAGGCAGAGCTTCAAGCAGCGCTGTTCAGGAGGGAGGCTTTTACTCCCTGGCTCTATCAGTTGTTAGAGGGAGCCAGAGACGCGGTGAAACACCCTGCTGTGCCCAGCAGCCAGAGGATCATGGGAAAAGCTCCCATTTCTGGGGAATGGTACCCTGCCAGCCTGGAGGCTGGACCTCAGGGACAGCCAGGAACTTGGGCACCCCCCACTCCAGCCTGCACATCCTCTCCCTACCTCAGTTCTACTCTTGTCCCGGGAGAAGCACCCAAGCTAAAGGTACTTCCCACCTCAGAGCACACGTGTCCCTGAGGGCCTCACCCCATATCCTTTGCTGGCAGGAAATGGGCTGGTGAGACGGCTACCTCGGTAGCATCACTCAGGACTCTCCCAACTGTGGGTGTGGGCTGTTGGCCTTATCTGGGTGTCAGTTGCCTAGTGGCTACTGTTTGTTCTCCCTGCAAGGAAGCGCCTACAGAGAAGCCCCTTGTAGGAGCCTCAACTGAATTCTAGAGTGAGCCTTCAGACTGAAGGCAAAAACATCCATGTCTGGGATCACAGACGTACATGCAGGCAAACACCAACGCACACAAAATACATAAGTACGCAGGTAAATAAATCCTTTTGGAAAATGAAAGCCCCTTGGGGGTGGGGCCGGCCTCCCCACTGTGGGGTGCCTAGCAGCCCTCCTGGCTGCTGCCCACCAGGTGCCAGAGGCACCAGGTCACTGTGGCTGCCAGAGGCACCCCAGGGCGTGCACCTGCCCCACAGAGGAACTGCTGACCCAGCTGTCCCCGGGCAGCCCCGTGTCCCCCGTCCGCCTCGGACTCTCACCATGTCGGGGAAGAAGGCTTCGGCATAGGCTCCCTTCAGGAAGAAGAGCTGTGGGATGTCCACGATGTCGCTCTCCGCCAGGCCCAGCTCCCGCTTCAGCACTGCCCGGTTCCAGTCAATGCATTCCTGGGCAGGAGGGATGCCGCGCGCGCGCGCGCGCGCGCCCCAGGACAGAAGAGTCTAAGTGCCTTGTGCTTGCCCGCAGCCCTGAGCACCTGTGGGTGCCCCGGGCCCCTCAAAGGTTTTTCGAGAAAGAACTCAGAGCTACCCGAAGTGGGGAAACCGAGGCTCAAGATGGTTGCGAGCTGCCATGTGGGTGCTGGGAATTGAACCTGGGTCCTCTGGAGGAGCAGCCAGTGCTCTTAACTGCTGACTCCACTCTTCAGCCCTTGGTTGCATTTTTTTTTTAATTTAATGTATAAGTGCCTTATCAGCATATACACCTGCATGCTAGAAGAGGGCACCAGATCTCACTATAGATGGTTGTGAGCCACCATGTGGTTGCTGGGAATTAAATTCAGGACCTC